TTTTAAGTGCATTGAATAGAAGATGAACTCAGATGTAAGAGCATCGATCCCGAGACCCAGCCTCATCAGCTACTGCCTTGGCTGGAGCCACCGATGCAAATAGGACAAGGGAAGTTTGTTTATCACCCTCAAGGGAACATTTACATGAGGAATAGTGCGTGACACACTACAAAAATAATAGCACAGTATCATATAGGTTTGCTATGAGCAGTATGATGGCAGATAGTTCTATTTATGATTCTTGAAGACTAAAATAAAGCCTTAACATTTTTAGATCTGAAACATGTTTCATTATTTTGCTACATTTCTCCCAATTGCATATTCATTCCATAAGAAAACAAAAATAGCATTAGTATCAAGTACACAAATGGTTCTCCCTGGCATTCTTAGTAGAGGCAGTATGGGAGGACTTGGGTTTCTTGTGCAACCATCTGTCTTCTGATCACCTACGTGCTCAACCTCAGTCCTGAGGAAGGTCAGCCTCAGATTTGTCCATTTTGGTTATTACATACTGTGATGTTGGCAGAGTTGAGTAAAAAGAGAAATTACATATGTTTATTTTTGTTTTTTGGGGGCGGGGAACAGGTTCTCACTATGTAGCCCCAGCTGGCCTGGAACTCACTATGTAGAGCATTCCAGGCTGGTCTTGATCTCACAGTGATCCTCCTGCCTCTGCCTCCTGAGTGCTGGGATTAAGGGCATGTGCTACCATGGCTGGCATGTATATTTATTTTTGAGAGCAGAAAAAAAAAAAAAAGTAAAACATTTTCAATGGGACACCATGAAAAATGGGACATGTGGAAGGGTTGTATTCCAAAGAAGACATATAAAAGTCTTGATGGCTATGATGTTGGAAGACCACCTGTGCCCCTCCCCTGTCCACTAGCCTACGGTGGTTCTTTACCATCATGTTTTTAATGTCTAGTCATTTCTCAAGAGCTCCAGCTCATCTCTCCTCTCACTGGTTGGGTTTTCACTTATATGCTCTCTAATTTAGTCAGCATAAGTGACTAGCCTGAGAGGCTTCATGGCTCCTGATTTTTATGTTTTTCAACTGCTACATAAACTAAACCCCACAAAACCCAATTGCCCAACTCTCTGACTTCTCTAAATCTGGTACCATGAAATTTTTGTTTGAGTAGGTAACACATTTACAATGTATGTTTATTAAACACACATGAAAAAAAAAACTCCTGTCTTTTTTTCCTCATCTGGTTAATTCCAATTAATTCCAAGAGTTTTTTTTTTTTTTTTTTTTTTTTTCTCGGTATTAGGGATCGAACCCAGGGCCTTGCACATGCTAGGGAAGCATTGGGTCACTAAGCTCTGTCCCTACCCTTTTGTTTTTTAGACAGATTCTCACTATATAGTTCAATCTATCCTTATATTTGCAATCTTCCCGCCTATACTGTTGGCTGGCACTACAGACATGTGCTGCCACTCCAGGCAACAAAGTTTTATAGTTTTTTTATGCATGTACCAAAAAATTAGTAAAAGAAAAAGTAATTTTCTCCTTTTTGACTCACATGCTTTTGTTGACCGTGTGTTCTGATCATCTATTACTATAAATAAATACCTCTAAAGTTAAGGCTTAAACCAGTTTCTTACTCTTCCCCACAGTTCAGTGGTTGATGGGGCTCAGCTGGGTAGTACTTGCTCAGGTCTCTCAAGTTTGGTTGCTCTCAGATGCTGTCCTGTATCGAAGCTGACTGAAGACTAGGCTGGGCTGGGCATCCTAAATGGGTTATGGATGACCTGCAGTTGATGCTGTTCTTTAATGGGAACTCAAGAGCCAGAACCCCCACCTCCCCTCACCCTCTTCCCCTACCCTCTCCCCTCTCCTCCTTCCCCTCACCCCCCTCCACGGCGCTTCTTTATGTGGCTTGGGCACCTCAGAACAGGCATGTTGGCTTCTGAGTGGGCACAGTCTAAGAACAAGCATTCCAATACAGCAGGAAATGGTAGAGCCAGGCCAATTAAGGGCTGTTTACAGATCTGGTGAAATCTCTGTACTCAGTGGGCCAAACATCCTCAAGGCCTGTTCAAATGGAAGGAATTGGAGAAATAGACCCCATGTCTTCGTGGGAGAGTACCAATGTCACAATGCAGAACTTCGGGGACAAGAGACAATGTGATGGTCATCTTTGGGACATGTAGCCTGCAGTACCATGTGAAGTTGTTTCCTGTCTTCTTAGCTTTCTTTTGTCCTAATGTCTGGCTCATTTCTGGTTCACTGCTACAGTTCAGCCCTCATCACTTAGCAGCTAGCTTGTTGTCAGGGACATCTTTCTGCTCTCCATCTTCACTGCCAAAAGCCAATACAATTTGTGTTTTCTCACTATAAGTATTTCCAGAAATGCAGCCTTGATGATGTCATGTTCTTAAGCCATCTTTGGTACCACAGCCTTTAGAAAAAGTTGTGATGTGCTGGCCAGTGGTCTTGTTTGACCTTTATGAGGTTTGTACACACAGCTCTTACAGTTTTTAAGCTTTCAGTATTGCAAAATTAGGAGGTTTTACATTAAAAACCAAACTTAAGTACCATTTGAATAACTGAGCTCTCATATACAGAAGCATTCAATTATTCAATGAGTATTTCTACATACTAAATATACTAAACAACAACAAACACCTGCCCTTATGGAGTGGAATTCTAGTTGCAGTCAAGAGACTAAATCAGTACAACATACAGAATGAATATATAGATTATTGGATGGCAACAAGCTCTGTGAAGGACTGGGCAAAGGCTCAGCATGAGAATGGCTGGGAAGGGCTGCAATTTTATATCATGTGATCATGGAAGGCCTCACTGAAATGGTGACATTTGGATATAAGAAATGAGCTGGGTAAGAGAAATGTGGATTTCTAGAATGGTGCTGTGCCATATTGGATAGCCACTAGCCATATGCTGCTATCTAAATTTATATAATTAAAATGAAATAAAACTAAAAATTCAGTTCTTCAGGAACACTTGCCACATTTCAAGTGTTCAGTAGCTGCATACTGCAAAGGCTGAGAAATAAGAGTATTCCCAATGGTGGGAAAAGTGCTGTGGGATGGCACTACAGAAAGGCTGTTCGAGGCAGAGGGGACAGCAAGAGCAGAGAGTGCTAGGGTAGGATGTAACTTGACTGCAAATAGTGACATGGCTCTTCTACTTACAGATTCTTACTCTTCCTGTTTTGTGATGTGTTATCCTTGGCTACAAAACAGGTTCCAGGTAAGCCTGGGCTACATGACACTTTCTCAAAAAAAGCCAAGGGAAGAAAAGTTTTATGAAAGTGTATGAAGATCAAGAGCCTGGATTAGGAGGTGGAATACATGTGCTCTCTTTTGGAGCAGAGTAGGTTCATGGATGATTCAAATGTTAAATCTTAGGCAGGGCACCTGTAGGTCAAGAGTGAATGTTCACCCCAAAGTGTCCTGGAAGGCTTCTGTGGACCAAGTGCCAACTCTTCAGTTGGCATATCATGGGGAGTTTGAAGTAGGTGGTATCCCAGTATTCAAGACAATGACCCCCTGAAGCTTACATGTTTTAACACTATAAAGACTATTTAATAGAGTGTGACATGGTATATAAAAGGGGAATGTAGATAAGTATATATGATAGGCATTAGGAAACTGTAACAGACTATAGAGTTCATTTTTGAGTCTTTTCTAGTAAATGTATGTGACAAGATTTAAGGCTTTTGCAGTACCCAGCACCCATTCTGATATTTTCTCTTATTTCTTCATTATACTACCATCCTCCTACAAGATGACATAGTCTCAATGTCCAGCAGGCTCTGTGTGACATCTTGGGTTTTCCTTCTTGAAGGGCCCTCTTTTTCTCTTCTGCCTAGTTGAATCTCCTCCACTCAGCCCGAAGTCATAGCAAACTTCCTTCTTGCCCTTCCCAGAAGTCTTCAGTATCCACATTCCCTGGCAATTGGCAAGAATGTGGGCACCACCTTTGTTTTCCCATATATTTATCTATACTTGGTTGAATCTCCCATTCCTTGAGGGCAGAAATAATTGATCACCCTCTTTCCTTACCTGGCCACATTTCTATATATACTTGGCCAAACATCTACTGTATGACGGGTATAATGACGAACCAGCTCAAGACCTGAACGTCATATCCTTACCTGTCGTTAAGAAAAAAGTGAACAAATTATCCAATTGTTGCTGGTCATAAGCAAAAATGGGGCCTCAAGGTCTTTACGATGAGGAGTATGAGGACAGGACATGGAGATTCACCGCCCCTCGGAGTTGAAGGCCCTCCTGGAATGGTTTCCCTCTCAGTGCTCCACAATTCCTACCCCCTGGAATGGTATAGAAGGTGATTCACACCGTGCTAAGCCTTTACAGTTCACCAGGCGCTTTCATCACTCGCAGCAGGCTTTCAGGGAAGGTCAGGTTCCAACATGTTAGCAGGGATTCACCTTCAGGTCACCAGACTTGCACTTACTTTGCTGAACGCCCGTCATAACCAACTAGTTTTCCCCGCTCACCCTTTCAAGAGCCCTGTGCCAACAGGGAGCAGTGTGAGGGGCAATTCTATCCCAAAGAGCCCATTTTCTAGGAATGGTTTCCGCTGTGGGGCTTGGCTGTGCAAAAACGCGGGAGGGAGGTGGATGTCTCAGCTCATTGGGTTGAAGACCGGGTCAGGCCCCCGCTACTGGGAAAGGCGACTTTTCAGCCTCACCGGGAGGGGCGGGGTCCGGAGCGGGGCTGGGCGGAGAATTCTGGGAATGGAGCACCTGTGGGGGTGTTGGTTCACACTGCGCTCCCGCCGAGCCTCTT